TTGGCATGACAATCAAGAATAGCATAATGGGGAAACAACCAGTCCATGCCCAAGATAATGTCAAAATCTACCATACTGAGCAACAATAAATCGGCTCTGATCTCAAAACCACTAAGAGCAACCAAACACGACCGATAGATGCGGTCCACAACAAGATAATCTCCCACAGGAGTAGAAACATAACTATGGGAACTCAAAGAATCCCGAGATACTCCTAAATATGGAGCAAAATTAGAGGACACATAAGAATAAGTGAAGCCTAGATCGAATAGAACCGATGCATCTCTGTGATAAACCAGTATAATACTTGTGATGACAGAATCGGAGGCAACAACCTCGACACAGGCAGGAAGGGCATATTATCGGGCATGGCCTCCCCCTCTAGGGCAACCTCTACCTCCCCGACCTCCACCTCTAGTTGGTTGAGCATGTGGGGTAGCAACTGGAGCTGTAATCATAGCCTGAGAACTCTGCGGGGCATGCTGTGGCTGAGAAGTCTCTGGAGGTGCACTCCTCCCAAGTCTAGGGCAATCCCTCACCACGTGGCATGTGTCACCACACTCAAAATAAGCTCTGGGAGGATGTGGCGGCTGAGACTGGCTCAAACCAGGTTTGCTGGACTGACCTCTAAAAGTACCCCGCGCAGGAGGCGCGCTAGAAACTGGAGGTGCGTAATAAGGCTCCTGAGGCCTAGGAGGAGCTGGAGAACTATTGGCTGCTGTAAGAGCTGAATGAACGGGGTGACTCATATAACACCTGCCATGACGAGCTGCAGCTGGGGTACGTGCACTAGAATAATGGCCCGACTCTCGAGATCTCTTGGCCTCCTTCTCCTCTTTCTCCCTAGCATGCATACCCTCAATCCTCCTTACAATGCTCACCACCTGCTGATAAAAAATATCCATCTCCAACTCACGAGCCATGCTAGACCTGATGCTGGGAATAAGGCCCTCAATAAACCGACGAATTCTCTCGCGAATAGTAGAAACCAAGGCTGGTGCATGCCTAGCTAAACTAGTGTAACTGACATCATACTCTGAGACAGTCATAGTACCCTGACGCAAATGCTCAAACTCTGCGCACCATGCGTCCCTAAGGCTCTGAGGAATATACTCTCTCAAGAACAGATCTGAAAACTGAGTCCAAGTCAGTGAAGCAACCTCATCCGGACTGTCTAACTCATAGGTGTGCCACCACTCATAGGCGGCTCCTCGAAGCTGGAAGGTAGTGAAGGAAACCTCGCTTGATCCTAATATACCCATGGTATGGAGAATGCGGTAACTCTCATCCAGAAATCCCATAGCATCCTCCGATGCTAGACCGCTGAATAAAGGAGGCTTGTACTTCTTGAACTTCTCAAGCCTCAACTGCTCCTTTTTAGAAGCCGCTACCCTATCCTCGGGCTGAACTGGCACTCCAGTCAGTATAGGAATAATCTCAGGGACCTGCTCAATATGCACTCGCTACTCAGGAGTGCGGGCGGCGGGAGTCTGTGCTCCTCCCCTGGCCTGAGATGTGGTTGCTGCAAGGGGAAGAAACCCTACTTGAGCCAGAGTGGTGTACATGCTCATGAATTGTGCCAAAGTCTCCTAAAGGGCTGGAGTAGTGGTAGCAGTAGGCATGTCATGTGCCTGGACTCCGGCTGGAACTACTGGTGGTACCTTGGCGGCAGCTCGTGTAGGTGCTCTGGCTGAACCACGTGCGCGTCCTTGGCCTCTACCCTGGCCTCTGACGGCTGCAGTAGGGGGCGCGAGTGCCTGATCATCTCGGATAGCAAGTATCCTCACCATCTGTGAGAGAATAGAAGACAGAAGTTTAGAATTGTGATGTCAAAATATCGCACGACAAGGAAATCAAATGAAGAGGAATTTTCCTAACAGTTACATAGCCTCTCGTAGATAAGTACAGACGTCTTCGTACCAATCAGTGAGACTCTAATAAACCGGCTTGTGATCCATGAATCCTATGAACCTAAAGCTCTGATACCAACTTGTTACGAACCCGGTTTGCCCTCCGTGAACCATCGGTACAGCACCTAGTCTCTACGACTAGGTAAGCCTAAATTGCGCGAGAAAAACCAAAATTTGCAGAAGTAAAACAATCTAAAACAGAAATAAAGCAGTAACAATGTTTAAATTTGCCGCTCGGCATACACCATGTTTAACTCTCAATACCAAAACATAAATCCAAGACCCGGAAACCCATGAATCACAAGCTAAGACGTACTATATAGCTCTAACTTCGGAATGTCTAACAAGAACAAAAAATACAGAAGGGCTAACTACTAAAAAAAGCAGGAATATAAAGGGACTTCTCGGTCTGTGGACGCGACAGATGTACCTCGAAGTCTCTAAAGCAGTCGCCTTCCTCAAGGATGGTAGGCCTGAGTAGCGGTACCTGGATCTACACATGAAAAACATGCGCAGAAAGGGTATAAGTACACCACAACGGTACTCAGTAAGTGCCAAGCCTAACTTCGGTTGGGTAGTGACGAGGAAGGTCAGGGCCCTACTAAGATTAAATAAATATAAAGATGACATGATAAGATAAGCAGTGCAATTAAGAATCTATACAGGATAATAAGAGTACAATAATGAAAATAGAGATGAAGGCAAACCACAAGGAAGTACTACTCATAACAAGGATGATAACCAGGGATCTCTTGGTATCCCGAGGATCTCTTGGTATCCTTTACATATACAAAGGGATCTCTTGGTATCCTCAATATATGCTAGAGATCTCTTGGTATCCCGAGGATCTCTTGGTATCCTCAATATATGCTAGGGATCTCTTGGTATCCTTAATATACTTGCCAGAGATCTCTTGGTATCCCGCACCTCAGTCCAGATTATAAATACGTACAGGGGATCTCCCAGGATTCTGTCACGTAGTCCAAATAAAAAAAATACACAGCAGCAAACAAGAATACTCAATAAATGCTAAATTTCGTACTAAGTAAATAGATAATTCTAGCATAACATGCTTCACCTAATATAATTAAGGTAGTTTAAGCAAATAGGCATTTAAGTCAACTAAACATACTTTTCTAAACTAACAATAGGCTAAATTCCCAAGTAGAATAAAATAGGAAAAAAAAAAGGAACTCAATTGAAACACTTAAAGAAAAACCGGATTTTCAACAATTAGCTCAAGTACGCACTCGTCACCTCACGTAGAAGGCATTTCAACTATCAAATATATCATATCCTAAGGGGAAGGTCCCCCACACAAGGTTAGGCAAGCCACTTACCTCGAACCGACTCAAAATCAACCCAAATCCACGCTCTTGCCACAAGTACTCGACTCCAAATGGCCCAAATCTATTCAATTCAATTGCATAATGTAAATAACACTTCAAGTAACTGATTCTACAATTAAATTCTAAGCTAATACGTGAAATTATATAAAATAACCAAAACGCCCCTCGAGCCCACGTCTCGGAATCAGGTAAAATTTATAGTTTTATAATCCTCACACTCTCACGAGTCTAACCATACCAAAATTATCCAAAGCCGATGTCAAATCCCCAATCAAAGCTCAATTTCTTGGTCTAAGAACTTTTCCCCAATTTTCATACAAATTTCGAAATTAAAGGATGAATTCATGTTTAGATTAATAGGTTACAAGCAAAAATGAGTCTAGAATCATTACCCAATCGATATCTCTGAAAATCCCTCAAAATCTCGCTCAAATCCGAGCTCCCAAGCTTAAGTTTTGATAAAAAAAAAGCTAAACCCTCGATTTTTGAAATCTTATATCTGCCCAGGTAATTCCTTCTTCGCGAACACGGTCAAATCCTCGCGTTCGCGAAGAACAAAATGACTTTGACCATTTTTCCTCTTACACGATCACGGCCAATACCTTGCGAACATGATGCTTTGCACAGATACGCCTTCGCGATCGCGTTCCACCTATCGCAAACGTGATGCATTATATCTACTAAAACTCAGCCGCTCATTTTCCTCTATGCGAACGCGACACCACCCACGCAAATACGATGTACAAACACTTATCCCTTCATGAACGCGTTGCCTTCCTCGCGAACGCAAAGGATTTATTTTCACCTTCCTCAACTGACTCTTCACGAACGCGAAAAGTAAAATTCCTCTGCAATAACTGAACAAAATTTGCATTTTTTTACAATTTAAAATGATCCGTTGAGCATCCAAAACACACCCGAGGCTCCCGGGACCTCAACCAAACCTGCCAACCAACCCTAAAACATCATTGAAACTTGTTCCAACCTTCGGAACGCTCAAACCAACATCAAAACACCTATTTTTCATCGGATTCAAGCCTAAAAATTCCAAAAACACTAAAAATACGCTTTTGATCAAAAAGTCTATCAAACCTAGTCCGAATGACCTCAAATTTTGCACACACGTCACATTCAACACTACAGAGCTACTCCAACTTCCAGAATTCCATTCCGGCGCTCGGATCAAAATCTCACTATTGGACCGGAAACTTCAAAAATTCAACTTTCGGCATTTCAAGCCTAAATTAGCTACAAACCTCCGAAACACAATTTGAACACGCTCCTAACCTTGAAGTCAACCAATGGAGCTAACGGAACCATCAGATTTCTATTCCCAGGTTATCTTCCCACTGTTCCGACTATGACCAACTTTCCAATGCTTAAACTCTCATTTAGGGACTAAGTGTCCCAAAACTCTCCGAAACTTAAAACCGAATGTTCCGGCAAATCAAAATAGCAAACATAAACTTGGGGAAAGTAGTTAATAGGGGATCGGGGCATAAATTATTAAGACGACCGACCGGGTCGTCACAAATAGGATCTCTAATCCCTATTTGATTTCATTTTAGATATAGGGTCTCCACCCCCTAATCTCTTTTTTGAGGATACACAATCCTAATTTTTATTACTTTCAATAATGAAGTAGTATAGAGTTTTGGTTACAAATAACTCACGAAATTTTCCTAGTGAAAACTGGGGCAAAAAAAATGTCGATCATTTGTTTATTTTGGTGTCTGAGCAGGTTATACCTCGAGACACAGGGTTCGAGACGACCAAAAGAAGAAGTTTCAATCAAGAATAATTAAAAAAAAAGAAGAAAAAGAAAAACACAGAAGTAGATAAGATATGGACAAGACATGATTGAAGTCACAAGCTTTGCATATCCCGCCTTGATCTGAAAAGCTGAAGAAGAAAGAACCAGAACTTGCAGCTACAAGCATCAAGATTCAGATCAGAGTCTACATAAAGAACCAGCCAAGACTCAAGATCAAACTCTAGAAGATTTATAGATAGGAATCTTGTAACTCGTAGTTGATAGGCTTAGTTAGTCTTTTTCATTTTGATTTTAGAGTAATAAGGAGCTCAGCAAGCAGAAATAGCAGCAACAACAGTGAAATCATAGCTATTTGGTAGTCCCAGCTACCAAAGTTTCCAGAACTACACTGACGTGATTCCTTTATAGCCAAGAATATGTAGACAACCTCCAAAGCAAGATTCGGTCAAACTTTTTCAAAATGCTTCCCATGGAGCTTTAAACGGGCAAAAATTGCTTGTATTTGTTCACTTTATCTTTGCCCAAAAACTTTTCATATTTCCGAGCAAAGGGACAGCTGTGAGCACCTAATTTTTGCCCGACATAGGAAATTATTCCTAAAAAGTCAAAACATAATTTTAATCGCTTTTATAGAATTTTAGGAATTTTTCTTGCATTTATTTGCATTGTTCATACATTTTTAGAGTTGTTTTAAACTATAAAAAATGTTTAATTCTTCATCTGTTACATTTTAGACTTTAATTGCATTGTTAGCATCTAGTTGCATATTAATTGCATTACTAAAATATAAAATTCCAAAAATACTTTAGATATTTCTTTCATGACATTTTGCAATGATAATTTAGGATTAGGTAAATTAGATTGAATAAGTTAATTATGCAAAAAATGGGATTTAAATTAAAATTTGAGGCTAAAAGTAGCTAATTTTTCCAAAAAGTGCTAATAAAAAAGAAAGGAAAAGGGGCCTGCCGAATTGGGCCAGCTCCAGCAGCCCACTTTGCTCCAATTTTGCCTGCTCGACCCGCCAGCCCATTACCCAACCGGACCCCCCCTTTCATTAAGGACTCACTCTAGGGCTGTATTTTGTCCCGGGCCCGGGCCTTAGTGGGCCTAACGGGCCGGGCCTCGCGGNCACTCTCCAAAACTCTAAAAGGAGGAAGGAGCAAAACATATCAAATTTTCCCCAACCCTAGCACAATTTTTCCACCATCTCCAAAAGAGAACCCTTCCCCATTTTTAGAAACCAGCGACTCTCCCTCCGTCACTCAGATCAGAAGCAGAGACGAACTATTCTACCGCACGAAAAACTTCGCCGCCTAATTCATCTTCTCCAAAAATCGGACAGACCTTACTCTTTCTCTTCTAAAAATCAGTCGATACACACGCATCTGAAGGCTCGCACACTAGAAGAACTAAGCTTAGAGCTAGAAACAAAAAATATTCAAAAATTTAAAAACTCAAAAAGAAGAGATATGAAAACAAGCTTTGGGGAATGATTTTTTTTTTGGTTTTAAAGGCTGCCGAAAGTTGTTGAATTTGCTGCTTCTACTTTTTGCTGAGTTCCGTTTGGGTTGGCTTCTGGTCTTTAGTCTATTTGTTCAAGTTTTTCTTTGTTTGCCCAGGTTCGTTTGAAACTCCTCTCTATTAAGCTTTAGTAAATGATTAAACAGTTGAGTTCATGCCTAGCTTTGAGGATTTGCTTGATTTTTGTGTTATTTTCGTGAAGCATGAGGCCTCTTTGAATTAATTCGGTCCCTATTCTCCTGTTAATAATGTTGCGTTGGGTTATCCAATCATATAAGTTTAAATACATTTTTTTAGTTGAGAATTGGTCGAATCTTCGTTTAATTGTAGCAGATCGACATAACTCTTCCTCTTTTTCTGTGATTCTATTATTTAATGATGTTTCCGTGGAAGCACATGTTGATTTTTGAATTTACTGGAAATTGTAGCTATAGTTTGATATTGAAAGTTGGCGTTTGAAAATAGTCATTGTAATATGAATATAGTTGTGACAATCACTTGAATTATTGCTATAGTGACTCTGTAAATGGTTTGATTCCTATTAATTAAGATACCTTCATTATAGTGTCTTATTTTGATTCTTAAATTTGTAAAAATTCTGCTGAACTAAAAGGGCCTAGGATTTTAACATTGTAGTGTTTTGAAAATAATGAGTCAGTACCACAAATTTGAACACGAAATGAGCTAGGAAAACTTAATGGAACCAGTTGCATATTTTGGCCCAATTCATAAAACTTCAGAGTCAATAGACTTTGGCTAACTCTCTTAGTTCCTTTCGGTAAAATCTGTTCCTTATCCCCGTTAAATTCTATGATCAATGGCCTCACAACAATCTCAAACAGAGGAAATGAACAACTCTCGAATAGCGTAGTTTGCTTTAGGCACAACTAATAATGAATTATCACGGCTATGGGTACAGTTCCCGTGGCATGATCGTGATACATAATTCCCAAATTCATGTGCACATTTTACGTGACCCGACCACAACATCGAATAATAAAAAATAAACATGTTGTAGATCGTGGGTATGGTTCCTGTGACGTGGTTTGCAATGTGTACCAAAACGACAAGTGTACGATAATTGTGACTTGTTCCAAAAATAACTCCATAAATAAATAAAAGCTGTTATAAAAGTTAAAAATGCACAATAGGTTTAAAACATGTAATAAATTGGATAATTAGGCCAATTAGTAATAGTTTAGCGACCGTGCTAAAACCACGGAACCCGAGAATCCCTAGCACCTTCTCCAGGGTTAACATAATTTCTTACCCGGTCTTCTATGTTCGCGGACCAAAAATAGAGTCAATTTTCCTCGATTTAGGATGTAAAATAAACTGTTGACTTGGGACACCATAAATTATTCCAAATGGTGGCTCTGAATTTAAATAAATAATCCTATTTCGATTTATGTCACTTCAATTGAAAAAACTCCCTATCCCCCTCGGGTAAAAAGAAGGTATGACAACACTGAAGGAACATCTAGGGGAAAGAAGCTGGTTATGAAACCTTACAAGTACCAAAGTTCTCATCCCATTAAGAACATAATTACTGATCTAACCTCTGGAATCAAAACCAAATCTTCTTTGAAGAATCTCTATGCTTTTGATGTTTTTCTATCTCTTATTGAATCTAAAAATATTGCTGAGGCTTTGCAGGATGCAGAATGGGTGAATGCAATGCAAGATTGGAAGCAATTAGACTCCTTATAGCCTTTGCTGCTTACATGAAATTCACTCTCCATCAAATGAATGTCAAGAGCGCCTTCCTCAATGGCTATTTAAAAGAAGAAGTGTTTGTCAAGCAACCTTCGGTCTTTGAAAGCAAGGAATGTCCGGATCATGTGTACAAGTTTGACAAGGCACTTTATGGACTTAAGCAGGCTCCAAGAGCATAGTATAAAAGACTATCAAAATTCTTGCTTGAGGATGACTACAAGAGAGGTAAAATTGACAATACTTTATTCTTGAAAGAAAAAGGTAAAAATCTCTTGGTAGTTCAGATATATGTTGATGATATAATCTTTGGAGCAAATATTGATAAGCTCGGTAGAGAATTTGCTAAACTAATAGGGAGTGAATTTGAAATAAGTATGATGGGTGAGTTTAATTTCTTTTTAGGCTTACAAATTAAACAAAACTCAAATGGAACTATGATCCATCAACAGAATTATGTGAAAGAGTGACTTAAAAGGTTTAAAATGGAAAGTTCCAATGAAATTGATACTCCTATAGTAACAACCACAAAATTAGATATAGATGAACCGGTTCATCTATTGATCAGAAGTTGTATAGGGGAATGATTGGTTCTTTGTTATATCTCACTGCCAGCAGACCTAACATTGTTTTTAGTGTAGGCCTTCGTGCTCGATTTCAGGAAAATCCAAATGAGTCTCACTTGATTCTGTCAAGAGAATCTTGAGATACCTAAAGGTCACCACTGACCTTTGTCTATGATATCAAAAAGGTAGTAACTTCAACTTAGTGGGATATGCTGATACTGATTATTCAGGTTTTCTTGTGGATAGAAAGAGAACCTTAGGTATGAGACAATTTCTTGGCTCATGTCTTGTGTCTTCGGCTACTAAAGATCAAAATTCTGTGGTCTTATCTACTTTTGAAGGTGAGTATGTTGTTGCTGCCTCATGTTATGCTCAATTGTTGTGGATCAAACAGCAATTAATGGATTTTGGAATTGATGTAGGTTGTATTCTCATATTTTGTGATAATACTAGTGCAATTAGTATGACCAAGAACCCAGTTCATCATAAGAGAACTTACCACACAGATGTTAGGCATCATCTTTTGAGGGACAACTATGAGAATGGGTTGATCACTGTGGAATTTTGTACTACGGACAAGCAAATATCTGACATCTTCAAAAAAGCTCTAAGTAGAGATCACTTTGAAAGGAACATGTTAGAATTAGGAATGATTAAGATCATCTAAAAGGAACCAGTTCTAACTCAAATATTTGGTTAGAAAATTGGGAATTTTTGTACATAATTAGAGTAGATTTTGCTCAGTCTCATGCTTTCATCAGTATACTCTTGTGCCGTGTGCTAAAATGACTCATTAATCTCTAATGATAATATCTCTATTTTCTGGGAAAGTTCAGACTTACACAAGAGATTTCTCAGTGAAGAACCTAGTTTATCAATATTACTTGGTATGTATTCTCCACCCTACATATTTTGAAATAATTATATTTGGATCATGATTAAGAGAAGAGTCCCATTTAATCCCAAACCCTTTTGAACTTATCCATTATGAAATGAACCGGTTTCGTTCAAAAGTAGTCCAAATCTGCATTAAGTGCCTAGATTCTAGTGACACTCTTCAACGTCTTTTCAAACAAAATTCAGTTTGATTAGACTTCTGGAAAAGGCGGCTGTTACCCAATTAAACACCCCCTTCTTAAATTAATAAGGCCTTAGTGTTTCTTCATTCTAATTTTCAAGCCATCAAAATTCTCTCCATCTTCTCTCATCATGCAAACACACTCAACCTCATCTTTTCTCCTACCTAAGCATAGAAATGGCTAACCACTCTAAGAATCCCTCATCGCCACCCAAGAAAATCACACCCACACTACCTACTACACCTTCAACCACTCCCATCTCTAAGAAAGGAAGGGTAAAGATGGTGGAGATGCGGGGTATGAGAGAAATAGGGGGAAATGGGTCTAGAGGAGCTGCTAAGGGGTTGGTTCAATTAGGGAAGGATGCTCAAGAACCTATTTCTTTTGAGCGGGAAACCCTCGCAGACCTAGTGAGAAATGTATCTGACAGTTACAATCCTAAAAGAAAAAAGGAGTTTAGGAGTGAAAGTCCCAGGTACTGCCAGGGCAAATAAGAAAAGAAAGACTGCTTCATCAATCCCTATAGAGACTTCTCCTACAAGAGGAAGAGCTACAAGGAGTCAGAAAAAGCAAAGTAAGGCTGAGCTGGAAAAAGCCTTAGAAGAAAGTAAGAAGAAAGCTTCTGCTAAGGGAAAGAAGAAGGTGGTTGAGCCTGTTAAGGCAGTTGAAATTGATGAGATGGACCTGGTCCTTTGGGATAAAGAAGAGACAGAAGACATGAAGGTTGTGACTCCAAAGGCTAAGAAAGTCAAGACTTCCACAAAGAAGTTTGTATCAAAAACAAAGTCTGCTAAGCCATCTACTTTTGCTAAAAGAACCAGGTCTGCATTGAAATCAAATCAAGTGAAAATAGTGGAGAATGAAGAATGGAGTGGAGCATAAGAAGAATATGATGCTGAGAAGGACAAGATGGTTAAATTTGGGAAGAGAACCATCTTGAAAGGTAGACTCCTCATGGACTTGGAGTAGGAACGGATGTTAATGCTGCTGGAAAAGTTACAGTTGCAAGGTTGGAAGGACATTGTCCTTCAGATGGATGGAAAGCTAGCTAGAAGTGAGATTGTGGAGTTCATGGAGAATGTGAGATCAAAGATGGTAGGGTCACCAATGTGCTTAAGAGGGTGGCAGTGAGGTTTGATGATAAAGAATTGAGAGAGATCTTAGGTGTACCGGCTGAAAAGTACAATGATTATAAGAAGCTTAAATGGCCAAGTCTAGAGAATCTCCCCACTGCCCTTGCCATTACTAGGATGTTTGGTGACAATGAAGAGGAGCTTGAGCCCAAGGCTATTTACAAAAGTGAGATGAAGCCGCCTCACAAAGTGTTGTTCGAATTTTTTAACAAAGTTGTGCTGCCTAGGTAGGAAAGGAGGCACATTGCCATATTCATGGACCTGATCCTTATGGAATGTCTGGACAGTGGGAGGCAAATAAATTGGCCTGGATTTATCATCCAGCTTTTTGACAGGGTTCTAAATGGCACCAAAACTCACACCGTACCCTATGGTTTTATTCTCACTATTGTACTTGCACACTTCAAGGTACCCATCAAGAAATGGGAAGTTGGTACAAGCAAGAATCATTTTGGGGCAAACACTCTAACTGCTTGCGACTATGAAGTCCAAACCACTCCCAAAGAACCTGGTTTATCCAAAAAGGTACTAGTGAACATCAAAATGTGAGCTTTGGTGCAGGAAAGTGGGGCTAAGGATGTTGATATTGATAGGCTGAAGAAGAGGTTGGCAGAAGTGGAGACTAAGAGAGATGCTCTCAGAGCTGAGCTAGCAAAAGAAAAGGAGAAGAATGATGGCATTCTTCAGGATATGCTGAAACTGCTTCAAGCCAAAAACCAAGAACCTAGTCCTTTCTAGCCTTAAGCCTCCTAGCCTAGTTAGATCAACCAGTGACCCAGGTGAGATTTTTTTGTTGCTTCTTTTGCTCAAGATCTAGTGTTTTATTTCTTTTTATGCTTTATGGTAGGAACTTATCAATTAATGAAATTCACTGCTTCTATACTAGATGGCTAATATCCTTAGATTGATAGATGATACTTGATTCCATGATTGCATTTGAAGTAGCCCTAGTGGTTATGAGTAATTTCTATTAAAATCTAATTATTTAACATAATTATGCAACTTTTCGATGATGCAAAAAGGGGGAATTAGGTTGTGCTTTTACTTTGGACTGTGATGTTTATAACCAAATGAACCTGGTCCTTGATGATTGGTGACTTCAAAAAGGTAAAGTGTTCTAACTTTGCGTTGATGTTGAGTTGATTGAAACAGGGCCTACACTTATGAAAAACACAGAGTTTGTCATCATCATAAAGGAAAAATTTGTTGGCCGAGGTGATGTTGGTTTTGATGATTGATAAATGAACTCAAGCATGAACCAGGTCCATCCACAGTGTACACAGAAGCATAAGGGATGCACGTAAGGGAGATAAACTTAACTTGTTATATCTGATATCTCCTGATAAAAAAGGTTGCATAATTGGTAAGGAGAAAGACTCCTTATTCAAAGAGAACACTATCCAAGATAATGAAGGAATTAGAAGTTGAAGTTAACTAAAACTCTTCCATCAAGGAAGAGTATAGCATTGGACTCTAGTTATTTCTTATTCTACTAACTCTATAAATTACAGGATGTTCTCACTTTACAGGTATGCCCAAAAGCTGAAGTTAAACGTGAGTTGAGAGTAAAATAGCAAGGCATTTTGCAAGCAATTCTTGTGTGCGAACCTGAAGCTACATGAACTAGGTAGAAGAACCAGTTCCAAGTGTCTGTCTTTTATTCTAGTTTCATTATAGCTAGTGATTTTTAAATTGTACCTTTCAGCTTTATCTAGAAGCAATTGTATTAGGTTCTTTGAGTATTCAAGTTAGAATTAACTTGAAGTTGTTGCAATAGTTAGAGGTTGGTTGCTACAACGGGATTAGAGATAATCCTTAGGTTTATAAAGAGTTTTTGCAAATGCTGTTTTGGCTAAGTGATTTTGGTGAAGTGTTGGGGAAAATCCTACTGAGTAGTAGGTCGTGGGTTTTTCACCTTTTGAGCCGAGTATTATTCACGTAAAAATACTTGTGTTTTTTACTTTACGCATTTATAATTTCCGCAATAGCAGTTTAAGGAATACATAGAAGAACCTGGTCCTTCTAAAATCTGTACATACAAAAATTGAAAATCACACAAATCACCGCTCCCTCTTGTATGGTATTGAAGTATAAAACATCACCTTATCTCACTGAGTTGCGCAAATCAAATCCTATTCAGTGTGAGATTAAGGGACAATGTAGTATAGGGTTGATTGAGGACAAGCATGTACTAATAAAACTGACGTTGATAGAAGAATATGTTCACTTGTTACCGAGGCCAGCCATCTACTTAAAGGTCGCAGGAGATTATTGGCAAATGCGAACGTTAAAGTGGTCAACATGGTGAAAACCAGATAAAGAAATGACGATAGCAGTGGCGTGGATATCCTTTCCGGTACTGCCACCGAACGTTTTTTGGAAAGGAATGTGTTTACTCATTAGCCAATGCAGTTGGTCGACTCCTCAACGTTGATATGGCCACTAAAAATGGCACATGGCCTAGTTACAAGAAAAGATGAGGAGAATTGGATTCGAATTAAGTATGATTACCTTCCTAAGTACTGTGAAACATGTGCTAAGCAAGGATATACTGAAAGGTAATGTCGAATTTTTACACCCTGAGTTGGTACCAATTGTACATGAAGATGACATAGACGAAGGAAAGGCAAAAGAGGTAATTGGGACTGCTGCAACATCTATAAGGGTATTGATGAGCAACAAAATTGTTGGTAATCCGAAACCTAATCCAGTTCGACAAGAATGGATGCAAAGGCGTAACAAATATCAAAGAGACAAAAGGGGAAGAGTAACAGCTTTGGGAAGTGGTAATGAGGTTGCCCTTACAGATGGCAAGGCAAAAGGAATTTCTACCAGTAATACATTTGAAGCATTGGCCAACGAAGAGCAAAATTCCAACGATGTGCAAGGAACAAGAACTGATAATAGGTTGCTGGGCAAGGAGGTTGAAAAACCAAGTCCTAGTATAGGGGAAACAATTACTCATGCGGCAAAAAAGATGTTTACCCATAATCCAAAAGGACTAGAAGATACAATTGTGGAAGGAGAGAAGAGTGCAGATCCAAATGAAATTGTAGAAACACAACTGCATGTAGAGGACAAAGCTAACCTTAATTTGAATCAGACAAGAGATGAGGGACAAAAAGAAAATGTTAAAGACTGGGTAAACAAATCATTCGACAATGTTTTGAATCAATAATTGATGAACAAGTCATGCCAATATGTACAATCTCAGATGTTGGCGAGACCTGCAAACTATGACAATGTAAGTGCACTCTGGAGTGATGAGGTTAAGGTTATGGAGGATGACACAATTGAAAAATGAGTTGATAATGTTGAAAAGAGAGACAAAAAGGAATCGAGTGGTGATAGTGAACAACTAATACAAATGGAACAACAACAAGAGGACAATTTGGGGAATAAGGAGGAGGGGCAAGATAAATTGGAGCAGGTTCCGCTCAATACTGTAGGTCGAGAGCTGAGTGAAGTGAGGCATATTTATCGTGGAGATAAGGACCAACCAAACGATGGTCCTATTGACATTCATGATACTGTGAACGAAGAGTGGAATATTAGGACAAGAGGTCCTAATATTGACAAGAATCATCCTTCCAAAGCCTTCAAAATGTGTCCAAAAATGGGTGATTTATCACCAAGGCAGATTGATAAGTCAAAACAAAGAGGAAACAATCAAGAGAAACTAGCGTTCCACCAGCTATTGTGTATTTACTGATCTAATATTCCATATGAGTGTCTAGAAGAGATACGAAGTCTCGATCTAATGTCTAGCCATGATGAATGCGCTTATAAGGAATATTGTATCAGTAAATACATAACAAGCTGTTCAAAGACTCATTAAGATGCATAGGCAGCAACAATTCTTATTCATTGATATATGGAACCATTACAAAATGTGAATCTGCTATCGAAGGAGGCTGGGAATACATGCGAGAGAACTGAATGTCTCGGGTAAGATTTGCGTTTTTATTGACGAGTTGTTTGAGTATGAGATATTATCCTTATCCTGAGTCTTGGTATGCTTAGATTCCGGTTCCCCAGCCGACTGTTGAATCTCTTTTTGCCTTGGTGTGCGAGACACCAATAGTCAGGTTTCATTACTTCCGAAATCCTGGTGATGGATGTGGAGAGGTGTGTGAATAAGAAAGGAAGCTTAAGAATAGTCATTAAGAGAGGTGACGGTGACCCTCTTTTGCTTTTTCAAGCTATGAATGTAGAGATCAGGTTGAAGAGTGAAAGGGACGAAGTGGTATGAAGTTGCTTGAACCTAAGCAAAAACATCTCTGAACAAGGTTCTAGCACCATGCCAAATGTGTCCGAAGAAGAAGAGCAAAGCAAACGAAGGACATGGAACACAAAATTACACTTAGATTGGTCAATCATGATATTGGGAAGGAATTGATTGTAATGTTTTTATATGCTAAATGTACAACATGTGAAATGATTGAATTGTGGGACTCCTCAAACGCATTAGCTCCGGGCATGAGGGTTCCTTGGCTTGTAGGAGGAGACTTTAATGTCATTATATCAGAGGAGGAGAAGTATGGAGGCCTACCAGTATACATGGTAGAGATAGAGGACTTTATACATTGTATCCAAAGCTGCTTGCTGAATGAGGTTGGATACAAAGGTAGTAAGTTTACATGGTGGAATGGAAGGGGTGGTGACGATTATATATTTAAGAGATTGATAGGTGTTTGGTGAATCAAAAGTTTCACGACCTATTACCTTCCTTGAATATAGAACATTTGATTCGAATGGGTTCGGATCATGCACCACTTCTCCTGCATGTGACATGAACCCGATACAAATAAAGAAATCATTCAAATTTTTAAATTTTTGGACTAAGCATCCGACCTTTATTGATGTGGTGAGGCAGCACTGGTACACAGGTGTGGTGGTTAATTCATTTGTTATGTTTCATCATATGTTAAAAAATATGAATGTTGCATTGACTCAATGGAGAAAGGAGACATATGGGGATATTTTTCAGCAGATTGCTACAGCGGAAGATGTGATCAAAGCTCATGAGATTAAATTTGAGATGCATCCAACTCTTGCTAATCGTGAGAAACTCCATAAGGTGCAAGATGAATTGATTAAATTTTTACATCTAGAGGAGGAATTTTGGAGACAAAAAGCAGGTATGCAATGGTTTCAGGATGGCGATAGAAACACTAAATTTTTTCATGCACAGGTGCAAGGAAGAAGAAGGACATTACATGTTCACCGTACACAAGATGGTAATGGCAACTGGTTGGAATCTATGGATGATATAACTAATGAAGCCATTCGATTTTTAATGATCACTTTAAAGAGTTTGGCCCAACAGAGAATTTTGAATTATTAGAACATGTTCCTTCCATAATAGATGAGCAGTAGAATAAAGCTCTCATAAAAGTACCTACCGCCAAGGAGGAGAGAGTGCAGGAGGTCTAGATGGTTTTACATGAGCATTTTATCAAGCCAGCTAGGAGGTGATAGGTTCGGACATTGTGGATATATGGTCAAGGCATTCTTCTGCGGATTATGAATTTCCATGGTTTGTAACTCATACAAACTTGGTTTTGTGCCCAGGAAGAAACTTGTGACTTCATTTTCGGATACGAGACCAATAAGTTTAAGTACTTTTTGAATAAAATATTCCCAAGGATTTTACATGAAAGGTTAGTTGATATACTCCCTACAATTATATCAACTAATCAGGTGGGGTTTGTGAAGGGGAGAAGCATCATTAAGAATGTGTTTCTAGCGCAAGAAATTATTATAGATATACGATTTAGAGCCAAACCAGCCAATCTAGTAATCAAATTGGATATGGCTAAGGCGTACGATAGGGTCTCGTGGTTATTTTTGACAAAGGTTTTGCAAAAGATGAATTTTGGCGAAAGGGTGATTGATATTATTTTTCGGCTTCTTTGCAACAATTGGTATTCCATACTGATAAATGGCAAGCCGATTGGTTTTTTCCGGTCCACAAGGGATGCGAAACAAGGAGATCCTCTATCTCCTACTCTTTTTTATCATTGCAGCATAAATATTATCTATAACATTAAACTCTTTACATGGAAATCCATACTTTGCGGGTTTTGGAATGCCAAAATGGAGTCTGTCGATCAATCATCTAGCATATGCGGATGACATAATCATATTATGTTCAGCATGGGCTGCTACTTTACAACTACTGATGGGATTATTAGCAGAATATGAGAAGGAGTTGGGCCAAAAAATCAGCAAAGAGAAGAGCTTGATTTATTTGTATGAATATGTTCTTATGGAAATGGTTATCACGGTGGAGATTCTTACACGTATTTGCCGAAAGGCTTTTCCTTTTGCTTACCTTGGATGCCCTATTTTCTATAGTCTAAAAAGGAAAGCATACTACGATGGATGAAACACGAAGGTGAGTGATAAGAAGCAAACATGGAAAGGAAAATTACTTTCAATCGGAGGAAGGACAATCTTGATCAAACATGTGTTGCGAAACATCCTTATTCATTTGTCATCTGGAATAAATCTGCCAGATTATGTAATTGCTTAAATACATCGTATGTGTGCAAGGTTTTTCTCGACTAATTCCATTGACGAAAAGGGCAAATATTTTTCACCATCCAATTTTTC